TATCTGTAGATATATACAACGCACACAAACAGAGAGACAAGTCCAAACAAGGCTCAACAGATGGTGAAAAAAGGCTGAACACCAACGACAAAGGAGGCCTGAGAACACAGAAGGAAACCTATGAAGGAAGATTCAACAATGAAGCCACAACAACAAGAATGAAATGGAAGGCTAAGAAGGACCCACCACCTACAGTTCGGTTGTCCCGAGCATTTCGTTAGTATCGAGCGGCATAGTCTGTTGAAAAGACTCCAGTATCGCTAAGCTCGTCTCAGAGAGTGCCGCCTTGGCGAGGAGGCCACCTTCAATCTCCCCGTGATCCATACCTACGGTGCAGCCACAACGTGCACAGAAGTACACCGCATATACCCCCGTTCGCTGCGCCACGTTGCTGCCGCTGTTCTTGTTAGCATTGTCATTGTCGTCCTCCACCAGTGGCACCTCAACGACGAACTTTGTCAGGGGTGGCGGCAGTAGACCATCGTCGTTACCCTTGACTCCTTCCTTTGAAGGGGCAGCAGCTCCTGCTGCGCTGCCCTTCGCAAGTGCCTGCGCCGCGGCCACACCTGCGCCCGCTGGCGTGTCGTCACTCGGCTTGGCCGTGGCGACGGGCACCTGCGGCGGTGATGTCGACGTCGACGCACCCGTGAAGAGCGTCTCGATCGACACGTCGGGGAGGTGTAGCCACTCCACACCCATCATAGACCCGGAGAAGCGCGAGCACACGAGGCAGTTGCACACAAAGCTGCCAAAGATGGTCGAAGCGTAGCCGCCGAAGCGGACGCTACAGCAGAGACAGCTGCCGCTGAAGACTGGGCCGAGTGGCGCTTCGCCCTTTGTGTCTTGGGCGGCGGCGCCAACGCCGGCGTCCGGCGTTGCACCGCCCTCTCCCGCCAGCTGCTTGTTGCCGCTGCTCTTGTTGAGCGGCTGGACAGCTCTGCCTTGACGACTGCCGGGCTGTGAAAGTAACGCGTGGGTGCCGCGTGGGGACCACACCACATCGTAGCGCCCAATGGACAGTGGAATGCGCTCATCCCCTGCGTTTCCGTCGCACGCATCGGCAGCTGCAGTGGGTGTCGTTGGGCGGCGCTGCAGGCCCTGCACGTCCAGTGTCGTCCCTAGCGCGTCGGCGAACTCCTGTCCGGGGCTTTCGCTGTCCATGCCGTCATCAAAGTCCTCAGGAGAAGGGCACTCTGCTCCCGCACCTCCAGGAGCAGCAGCAGCAGCAGTGGAAGCGGAAGCAGTCGGTGTGGCGTTCATACTCTTACGATCACGGGCCTTCTCTGCTCGGGACAGGCTACTGTGCACAGAGGCGAAGTGATTCGTCATCTCTCGCAGGACGAGCGCGAGGTCACCTGGCGGCTCATTGCTTTTCTCTTCTTCGGCACCTTCAAGTTTCTGCAACGGCTCTTGTACCCTGCCCGCTTCTGGAGCGCCATCATCATCATCAGCAGCAGCAGCAGCAGCAGCGAGGTTGGCCTCCTGGTCATTCTTTTGGTCCTTATGCGACTTTTCCTCGGTATGTTCATGCGCCTGGCGATACGGCACCGACGGCGGGGACTGAGGTTTGGGCGGTGTTTTTGCAGATTGTTCTTCGGGAGCAGCGGGAGCAAGTCTTTCGCGAAAATGCACAGCTCCAATTGGTTCGTAGTTCATTGGGATCCGGTGGACGGTCACTCGTTGCTCACGCTCACGCACGATGCGCTTCTTGTTTTCATCATAAAGGAGGAAGAGATCCTGCAGAGGAATCCTTCCAATCGACCGTTTTTGTACCATATGTTGTTGGTTTTGTAGATGCGTTTGCAGGTCTATCGGCCGCACAGCAAGTTCCTCCCTCCTCTCCTTGTTGAGATACTTGACATCCCCGCCCTTAGGGTGACTGCCATTGGCGCCGCTCACGGGGCTGAGCTTGTTGTTATGAATGTTGTCTTTGTTGCCATCCATGCCCTTCTTTTTCATTTTGCTTAGGGCATCCTGAAGCAGGGCAGGCATGTACTTTGCGCCCTCGTTCACAGGTGAATGACGTGATGGTGGTGACTTCGATGCCTCTTCCTTCCGCTTTGGCTGTTGAATCTGCTGCTGCACGCCGCCGAGGCCACCAAGCCGCGCATTGGGCATATTATCGGCACGTTTAAATGGGTGCTCGTCGTTGCGCTTGCGGAATAGATCGTACCGCCCGCCCCCCACGACTGCCGCCGCGGCTGCAGCCGCTGCGCCAGCGGAAGGGTATGCCTTTTCCGCGCCGCCCTCCTTACCCCGGTTTGCTTGCGGTTGCGGTTGCACCACCATGCCGGGCTTAAGAGGTGGCGGCGGTGTGGCGTCGAGCTCGAGGATGCGTTTGTACTCCGCCTCGCAGCGGCCGTCAGTGGCGCTGAGTTTCTTCACCACATCCGGAATTGCCCGCACCAGCACAGGTGTGCGTAAGATTTGGCCCGCATCGGGGCGCTGCCGCGGATCCTTCTTCAGCATCCACTTGTTAAGCTCCCAGAGCTCCTCCGAGAAACTCGGCGGGATGCGGCGCGGCTCCTTGTTGCATATCTCGTCCATCAGGCGGTTCATCGTTGCCGCCTCAAAAGGCAACCGACCCGTGGTGCATAGCTCGTAGAGCAGCACACCGAGCGCCCACACGTCAGACTTGTTGTTGTACGGCTTGCCCTGGCACAGCTCGGGGGAGAAGTAGCATGGTGTGCCGCACATCGTGTGTGCCATGGCGACGGTGCTCATCAGCACGGTGCTGATGCCAAAGTCGCCCAGCTTCACTACGTGGTTTTGCGTGAGGAAGACGTTCTGCGACTTGATGTCGCGGTGCAGGAGGCGACGGCTGTGCATGTACTTCACCGCCATGGTGGTCTGCACGAAGAGACTGATTACCTGCGCCTCAGTGAGGCCGCCGACGCCGCCACCGCCACCGCCGAGCGCCCACACGCTGCTCTTGAGGTTCTTGAGTTGTGTGCAGACGTCTCCACCGTCGGCGTACTCCATCACGATATACAAGTTCGGGTGCTCCTCGCAGAACTCCACGTAACGGATGATGTTGGGGTAGTCGAGCTGCTGCAGCAACGCAATCTCCTGATGTGCGTCCTTGCGCTGCCGTGAAGTCATGCTCGCCATGTTGACGTGCTTCACCACGTAGTACTGCTGGCGGCCGGCGTGGTAGACGAGGTATGCGTTGCCGAAGCTGCCCTTTCCAAGCTGCCGCACCGCCGCGTAGCCGGAGCGCTGCAGTGTAATGGGCAGCCGCGGTCGCGACGGGCCAATACCGAGGCGGAAGTTGAGCTCGTCAACGGCGTTCATTTGTGCCGCCTCCGATTAATCGCCTTCTTCCTGCTGTTGTGTGCTGTCGGTCACTGACTTCTTCTCTCCTGCGTCCCACACGTTATATATATATATATATATATATAT